TAAAATATTTTGAGGGAGTCTAGTCTAGTCCATAACACTGTTAGATGAAATCAAAGTGGAAGCCAAGCTAAAAGAAAAATGACGTGGAAAGTAGGAAGGAGACCATCCTGCCTCCCTATCTGTGCATCAAACCATCCCCCAGCTGAAATTTGCTACACCAGCTCTCCAATTGCTGAAACTATCAATAGTGAACGAACATATTTAATGACAGTCCACAATAAGAGAAAGTCTAACTATCGTCCCTTGACATTTAATGGTATTACCATTACTGAGTCCTCTACCATTAATATTATGGGATTACCGTTGATCAGAAACTGAGCTGCAATATCCGTGTAAACACTATTGTTTTTGAATATTAGTTATACAAATATTGCAGTTATATATGGGGGTGGGAAAACATTGTTTGAAGTATCATCCAATCCATCCAAGTCTGTATGATTGCCAGTTAGGGAAGGTAGGCAGGTTGCTGCAATACTGGATTCATGAGACAATCTTTGGTGGGAGTGTAGATAGGTGCTGAATCCAAGTTCTACAAGTACCACCAGGTTCTTAGTGAACCAATGAAGAATACTTCCAAGCCAATTAAGTGCTTTTTGAAAAGTACTCACCCTGGTAATGAGGTAAATATTAAAGCCAATATGTGCATGGCACGATCTTACAAACAGCAAAATGAACATGACCAGATCATTTGATTTAGTGAGACTGGTTGTGAAAATTATTGGTCATCATGTAAGAGAAAATTCTGCTGTTGATAATGGAGACACTGCCGCCAGTAAGCCTATAGGATCTTCTGTGTCCACCTGAGAGACTCAACTGGGCCTCAGCTTAATGTTTTATCTGAAAGAAAGCACTTCCAAAGAGTGGCACACTATCAGCATGCATGTCAGAAATGGCACTTAAACTCATAACTTCTTGACAGAAGTGAAAACTTTTCCACTGAGTCACAGCTGACATCCATTTTCTTACATTTCAGAGTGTTTCAATAATTGAACAGGCAGGAAAGCACATCACAGTTGTTTGTGAAAGCACTTAAAAAAAAGGATCTGAACCTGGGGAATATAATGCTTTCAGATTAGGTGTAATATTTGTGTGGTGTGTGTGGTATTTTTTGAGATGACCATTTCTGGTACCTTGTGATATTCACCTCCTCTAACAGTATGCAGCATTGAGTAAGGGTTGTTTGAACTAACTCATTGCCACCAATCCTCCTTTGTCTTGGGCCTTTCCGGTGATTGGTGTAGAAGATACACCAACTTAGAGTATCCACGGGAGAAGCACAGTTCTTAGATAACAAGGTTTATTGCATGATGGCAATAAGTACAACTGCATTTGGCTAGGCCTAATTAGTAGCATCTTAGTGAGCTAATATGGATACATCTGCTCCCTCTAAAAGCTAGAATTGAACTCCATGTCTCCACCCATAGACTGTATGTCATACCAACAGATCGGGTAGATCAAATGTAAAATGAACAGTAGTTCCTTTGAAAACATTTCTTTATACAAGAGAGTGATCAGGTGTCACAGTCAGAGACAGACAATATTCCAAATTTGCAGACATCAGAAATTTACGCAGAGAACTCTCTGGAAGCACCAACACCACATTTTTAAAAAAGAATTATTATTCCATAGAATGTGGGTGTTGTTGGCAAGGCTAGCATTTGTTGTCCATCCTAACTGCCCTTGAACTGAATGGCTTGTGAGGCTATTTCAGAGGGCTGTTAAGGGCCAACCACATTGCTGTGGGTCAAGTACAGGCCAAATCAAGTAAAGATGACAGATTAAATAGAATTATAGAATAATACCGTACAGAATTGTTTCACTTTCCAGCACTTGGCTTATAGCCTTGAATGTTACAGCATTTCAAGTACTCATCCAAGTACTTTTGAAGATTGTGAGGTTTCCCACCTCAACTACCCTCCAAGGCAGTGCATTCCAGATTCCCAGCACTGTCTGAGTGCAAAAAAAAACTTCCTCAAATCCTGTCTAAACTTTCTGGTTTTCACCTTAAAATTGTGCCCCTTTTTTATGGACCTTTCAAGTAAGGGGAACAGCTGCTTCCTATCCACCATGCCCATGCCTTTTATAATCTTATACATCTCAATTTGATCCCCTCTCAGCCTTCTTGCTCTAAAGAAAAGAACCCAAACTTATAGGTCTCTTCATAGCTAAAATGCTGCATCATGGGCAACATCCTGATGAATCTCTTCTGCACCTCCTTCAGTGCAATCACATTCCTCATATAGTTTAGTGACCTGAACAGCATAGAGTGCTCAACTGTGGCCTAACTAAAGTTTTGTACAGTTCAACATAACCTCCCTGCCCTTATAATGTGCGTCATAACTGATAAAGTTTGGTCCCATATGCCTTCTTAACTACTTTATTAACCTATCCTGCTGCCTCAGGGATCTATAGTAAAGCACCCCACGATACCTTTGTTCCTCCGAGTTTACAGGTGTCATATCCTGCCATTCACTGTGTATTCCCTTGTCTTGTTACTTCTTCTGAACTGCATCACCTCAAATTTATTAGGATTAAATTCCATCTGCCACTGATCTGCCCATCTGACCACTTCATCTATATCTTCCCATAACCTAACGCCTTCCTCACTGTACACCTTGCAGTCAATCCCTCTGACAAAGCCATGCTGCCTATCCCTGATCAAACCTGGCATTTCTAAGTGGAAATTAATTCTCTCGTTCTGAAATTTCTCCAGTTGTTTCCCTACCACTGATGTAAGACTCACTGGTCTGTGACTCCCTGGTTTATCTCTACCAGCCCTTTTCAAAAGTGGAATCATATTAGCTGTTCTCCAGTCCTCTGGCATATCCCCTGTGGCTGGAGATAATTAAAAATTTGGGTCAGAGCCCAGTTAATTTCCTCTGTCGTCTCTCACAGCAGCCTGGGATCCAACTCATCCAAGATAGGGATTTGGCCACTTTTAAACTCACCCAAACTTCCAATATCTCCTCACTCTCTACATAAATCTGGTCAAGAACCTCACAGTATGTTTTTTGCTTTCCTAAAGAACTTTAGTGAAACAGATGGGCTTTTACAAGAACTAATGATAATGGTCATGGTCAACATTACTAAGACTGGCTTTCAATTCCCCATTTTATGTATTGAATTTAAATTCCACCAGCTGCTACTTGAACCCATGTCCCTAGAGCATTAGCCTGATCCTCTGGAATACTGGTCTAGTGACATTATCACTTTGCTAGCATAACCTCCACATGACATTGCAACAGTTCGAGAAGAGGGCTCACCACCACTTTCTCAAAGGTAATAAAACTGGGCTTTGCAAATGATGCTAACATCCCACAAACAAAAAATGTAATGCTGCGAATATACAGCAGCTTCTGAAAAGGTCAATAATTTAGGGAAAATACCCATCCTCAGAACTGTATTTAAATTTCAGTGCTATGGGATTGACTGTCGATGTTTGTGTTAAGAAACAGACAGGATGAATAGTTGAGAGCAGTTCTTTGTGTTGACAGGTTGCTGAGACTGTTAATGGCTAGTTCAAAGTGGGTTGAGGGAGATGAAGTTGGCGATGAAGGAGCATAAATATAACTTCATTCATCCTAACCTTCAGCTGATGGAAGGAGCATTTCATGCAGACAAAAACTGCATGTTGGATAAACAGTCTAGTGCCATGAAGGGGCTGAGAAGGTCTGAGAACAGGTGGAGTTGAACATCATCAACACAGATGTGAAAATTGACCTTGTAATGTTGTCCAGGAGCAGAAGGTTGACGAAGAGAAAGGACCCAAAAGAGTAGACCCTGGAGGAAATCCCAAGCTAACAGTGTTGTGGTGAAAAGAGAAGCATTGCTAGAGAAACTCTGATAATGTTCGGATGTGTATGTATAGAACAGATGAAGACAGTCTCACCAAACTGGACAACAGGAGGGAAAAAAATGTCCAGTCATATCAAAGTCTGTGTTCGATCGAGGAGGTTGGAAAGGGACTGCATTCATTAAACTTCAACATCTTTCCACAATAATGGACCATGACAACTTTTGTAATTCTAATTGAAGATAATATCCTGATTGGTAGTTACTGTATTAATTATTAAAAGTTTTATTAATCAATAGATTTACTGATTGGTGGATTTTCTTATTTTGAGATTTAATACGTCGTGCTGATTGTTTTCAAACAGAGAAGCTATGCATTCTTTAAAAGACAGTGCAGCCACTCAGAATCCACAATATATTTGTTCTTACTTTGTTTTAAGTTGTACATTTACCCATACAGGCACTGCTCTTCTTTCCCTTCTCCCTCTTTACCCTTCTCCGATATATTGAAGGAAAGTCTATGTGTGATTCAAAGAGCAACTTGATAATTCAGAAGAAACAACCATATTCTCCCGCCTCTGCTGGTGACACTTTGAACAGGGTTACCCTCCCTTTGTAGAGTCAGCGAATCATACAGCACGGTAACAGACCCTTCGGACTATGCAGTCCATACTGACCATAATCCCAAACTAAACTAGTCCCACCTGACTGCGCTTGGCCCATATCCTTCCAAACATTTCTTATTCCTGCATTTATCTAACTGTCTTTTAAACATTGTAACTGTATCCACATCTGCCACTTCCTCTGGAAGTTCATTCCATACACACACCATTCTCTGTGTAAAAAAAGTGCCCCCATTCCTTTTTTAAATCTTTCTCCTCTCACCTAAAAAATATGACCCCTCATCTTGATATCCCCCACCCCAGGGAAAAAACACCTACCATTCACCTTATCTATACATGTCCTGATTTTATAAACCGCAATAAAGTCATCCTTCAAGCTCCTACGCTCCAGTGAAAAAAGGTATTACAGGCTATTGAAAATAATAAAACTGGAAGAATGGGGAGACGACTCACACACTGCCTGGTCAAACAGTAATGCTGAGATTTACTCCGAATGTGAGGTAGCATTTTCCAGACCCTCAGGAAGGGACAGCTTGTGGAGAAGCTTAAGCAGTGTTATCATCCTGACGTCAACTTCCTGAGGTTGAAGTACAGGATCGGCATCCATTCCCTCCCACTACTCCTGCCCTCTGCTTTGCCTGCTCCCTGCGCACGCTCTCACACTTCAAGGCTTGTGGCAGAGTGACTCAAATTGTTTCTTGACCTTGGACAGATCTTCCGCCGTGGGCTGCCTGCTAGGAATTTAGTGAGCTCCAGAACACTGCATGCTGGAACACACAGACAGCCTTGCCGTCTGCTTTTCGCTCCCACAACTTTTTCTTCCAATTGCAGTCAAACCAGAAAGGAACAAAACTATTTAGAAACTGAATGCAGACAGATAGAACGACTTCTTCAGGTAAGCCGTTTCAGTGATCTATGCAGATAGTGATTTTCTTTCGTGTTGCTGGACCTTCTCTTTTAAAAAAATGATTGCCTGAATTTAGCTTTTGAGTCCTGTTCACTTGGAGTCTCCCTTCCTGCTGTTTGAGATGCAGACAGTTATAAAAAGTTTCTTGATCACAGTTCCGTCAGTATTTTGGTTTAAGGATTACAATTGTGTCGTTCTAATTGTTGGATGTTGCCTTTATAAAATGAGAAAGAGGCTGCAAAACGGTTTGTACTGGAATGTGAGTTTATAAAGGGGTTAGACGAGCGCCTAGGATCAGAGTGAACGACAGAACGAACATCTATCTCCTTAACTCATTAGATTTAAGGACTGAAAATGAGAGGGGGAAAAAACGGAGAACGTAATAGGGAAATTTAAATTCATTTCAGATTCCGTAAGAAAAATAAATTGAGGAAAGAATGCGTTGAGAAAGATAAACAAAAGATAAAGAAAGTAACACTAAACATTTAATACTTAAACTATTAAAATTTTCCAAGAGCAATTTACCAGCTGCAAATGGGAACTACTCCATAATTTAAATTGTTCACTTTTTTGTACAGAAACATTGAGATACATTGAAGGAAAGAACGATAATTTTGCCTTTATTTAGATACTTCTAAGAAACAGCAATCATTTTCCTGCAGCAGTTTTATTTAATGATTAATATGGAAATGCTGCAATTTACAAAACTCTCGCACGTTGAAACCAGGCTAGGTTTTGTGAGGCTAATGGCAGAGAGTGAAAATCATCTGGCAATTCGCAATCACCAGATATCTTTCTCTCATGAAAGGTTTCTGAGTTATTTACAGTTAAAAACAGAATGCACCCTTAAATTTGCTGCTTTTTTGCTGCAAAATTCTGGACTACTTGGTTTTTTGGCCTGTACTGTGACCATTTCTCAGCACATAACAAGGAGGAAAGCCTTAGACTGCAGCATAACATAGATGGGTTGGTCAAATGGGCAGGCCAGTGGCAAATGGAATTTAATTCTGAAAAGCATGAGGTGATGCATTTGAAGAGAACTAATAAGGCAAGGGAATATTCACTGAATGGTGAGACCTAGGAGGTACAGAGGATCAGAGGGACCTTGGTGTTCATGTCCATAAATCCTTGAAGGCAGCAGGACAAAATGATAATTTTGATAGGAAGGCATATGACACTTGTCTTTACTAGTCAATGTATGAGGAGGTTATGCTGAAGCTGAATAAAATGTTAGTTAGGTCAAGAAGGCATAGATTCAAGGTAAGGGCAGCAAATTTAGAGAGGATTTGAGGAAGTTTACTTCACCTAGAGGATGAGAGATAGCTAGAACTCACTGATTGAAGAGGTGGTAGAGGTGGGAACCCTCATGACATGTAAGTATTTAAATTAACTCTTGAAATGCAATAGCACATAAGGCTACAGAGCAATTGCTGGAAAAATGAGATTAGAGTTGATAGGTGCCTAATGATTGGTGCGGTCACGCTTGACTGAAAGGTGTATTTCCATGTTGTAAAACTCTGTGACCCTATGACTATGGCACAGGTTCAACATAACTGTGAAGTTTATTGAGATTGGCAGCCAGAATGGCATTTTGCTTTTAACCTGGCTGGAGCACCAATATTTTCAAGATCTGCATGAAATGCATTTTCCACTAAACCCAATATAACAGCAATCCAGGCAGAATTGGGATCAAGCCATGCAGGTTTAACTGAAGTCAAATGCATTTATGTATCAACTTTCACATCCTGAGGTGATGCACAGGCAATTAAGCTCTTTTTAAGCATAGACGTTGTTGTTTTGTTTCATTTATTTGTTCATGGGATTTTGCTGGCTAGCTCAACATTTAATGCTCATCCCTAATTGCCTTTGAGAAGGTGGTGGTGATCTGCCTTCATGAAGCACTGCAGTCCATGTGACGCAGGTACACCTACAATGCTGTTAAGAAGGGAGTTCCAGGGCTTTGACCCAGTGACAGTGAAGGAATAGCAATCTATTTCTAATACAGAATCATGCATAGCTAGGACAGAAACTTGCATTTGGGGATGTTCCCATGTATCTGTTCCCCCGGTCCTTCTACGTGCGTTGGAAATCATCATAGAATCCCTACAGTGTGGAAACAGGCCCTTCAGCCCAACAAGTCCACACTGACCCTCACAGCATCCCACCCAGACCCATTCCACATAACTCACCTAATCTACACACCTTTGAACACTATGGGCAATTTAGCATGGCCAATCCACCTAGCCTGCACATCTTTGGGTGTGGGAAGAAACCGGAGTACCCGGAGGAAACCCACGCAGACACAGGGAGAATGAGCATACTCCACACAGACAGTCGCCCGAGGGTGGAATCGAACCCAGATCGCTGGCGCTGTGAGGCAGCAGTGCTTCTCTATTGAACGAGGCCGGGCAAGTTGCTGCAGTGCATTTTTCATATGATACACACTGTCAACACTGTGGACAGAGTGAATGTTTAAAGTTGTTAATGGGGACCCAATCAAGTGAGTTGCTTTGTCCTGGATAGTATTAAGCTTTTTGAGTATTGTTGGTGCTACGCTCATCCAGACAAGTAGTGAGTATTCCATCACACTCTTGACTAGTGCCTTGTAGATAGAGGGCTCGTTTTGGGAGTCAGGGGGTAAATTGCTCGTTGCAGAATTCCCACCCTCTAACCTTATCTTGTAGCCACAGTATTTATGTGGCTGGTGCAGTTCAGTTTCTGGTCAATGATAATAGGGTTTAACTAGTGGTTAAAAAGGTACCTGTTTAAACCATAAAAATGAAAACAGTTCATAATTTAAACATTAACAAATCTCTTAACTAACAATAAGGTATTGATATATTCCTTCAAACTCTATATTTCTGATGAATCCAATGGTCCCTTGGTGCAATGGTAGCAAATCAGGCTTTCATCAGAAGATACAGATTTGTTTTCCTCTGAACCAGTCCTAAATTTGACTTTTAAAAGCTTGGAATCTTTGTCTTCAGCATATTGCCATTAATCAGTATTGACTACATTGATGAAAAAGTGTCCAGGAAGCGTGAAGATGTATCTATGTGCTTATAGCAGAGGACCTGTTTCCACACTGTAGAGATTCTGTGACATATAAAACATCTAATTCTCTTGATAATGTCTTGGTGACATTGCATTAGTCAATGATTGTGTGGTGGATAAAAATTAGTGTCCTCAGTCATAGCAATAAAAACACTTGTTTTCCTCATGAGCAAGAAGTTGAGTGGCTACAGTAGGCTGTGATACATCAGACATGGAGGGGTCCAGGAGGGTAAATCAAGCACATCATGAATATCAAAGGAAATCTCTTTTTCAATTATTCCATCTTCAGAATACAGATGTTATTTCTAATGTAAAAACACTTCCCAAAAATTGCAATAAACAACATGAGATTGGAATTGCCGCAATTTTAATGTGGTATTACAATGTCACAATGCCATTTTATTCATCAATTTAAAAGTTAACTGCTTTACATTAACCAGCACGTCAATACTAATCATTTAACTGTTTGTTGCTATACATCATAACCCCCATGATGTTGAAGGTGGGGGCTTCAGTGATGGTAATACCATTGAATGTCAAGGGAGGATTCTCTCTTGTTGGACATGGTCATTGCCTGGCACTGGTGTGGCACAAATGTTACTTGCCACTTATTTGTTTAAACCTGGATGTTGTCCAGCTCTTGCTGTATATGGACACAGACTGCTTCAGTATCTGAGGAATTGTGAACAATATTGACTTCGGTGAGACAATTTGCAAACATCCTCATGTCTGACCCCATGATGGAGAGAAAGTCATTGAAGCAGCTGAAGATAGTTGTATCCAAGTCACTAATCTGTGGAACTAAGGGCTATTATGGCATGCAGGTAGTGACAAACCTCTGGGTCAGGAGACCTGGGTTCAAGTCTCACCTGTTCCTGTGCAATAATATTTCTGGTCAAGTTGATTAAAATGTATCTACTCTGAGGAATACCTGAAACAATTTCCTGTGACTGAATTAATTGACCTCCAACATCCACAACTATTTCTCAGTGGTGCTAGGAATGACTCTAACCAGTGGAGCATTTTTCCTGATTCCCACTGATTTCAGTTTTGGAGCTCCTTTATGACACATTTGGTCAAATGCTGCCTTGATTCAAGGACACTTGTTTACATGCCTGTCTGGGCTTTAGCGCTTTTACCCATGTTTGAACCAAGGCTGTGTTGAGGTCAGGAGCTGAATGGCCCTGGTAGAACCCAAACTGAGCCTCAGTTAAGTGGGTTGCTGTTGAGTAAGTCAAAAGTTTAGTATGAGCCACTGAGGTTTTCAGGCAAGAAAGGTCTCAGGCCTTATCTTACAGGGTTTCATCATGAGTGTGCTGACCTCTACTGGGTAGAACATTAATCCACCTGCTGCTTTGGGCAATGATGTGCTTGATTTCAGCAGTCTGAGTGGGAGAGGTGCTTAATATTTAATAGGAAAAACATCCAGTAGGAGATGTGCATTGTAGAAGCAACAACACTCTTTATTGAAGCCATAAACATGCTTTCCTGTCCTCGTCCTGGCACAAAGTCAAGACCATAATGCTAAGAAAAGATGATGTACCAGATTCCTCTCCTTCTCCCATTCATAGCCTAATCTTTTTTTATTGAGTGAAAATTCCCCAAAGTAGCATGATATGTACTAGTAACCTGACTTGAGCTTGTGAATATTCATATTTAAAGAAAGTTTCCTCAGTTAATTTTGTTCCTTGATCAGTTTTTAATTACTGAAGAGGTCTTCCCTGCATTACTAACTTTTGTAGGTTGTGGAACTTCACAATTGGTGGAAATCAATTTGATATTTGCATATTCTATTCATAACATAATAAAACATCCCGAAACACTGCTGAGTATCCTTATAAAGCAAAATCTGATAGTGGGCCACATATGGAGATAGTAGGGCAGATTGGTCAACAGTCAGTTTTAAGGAACATCTTAAAAGAGGAAAGAGATGC